AGGGTGAATGCGAGATTTGCACATGATTCAAAACATTGGATGGTTTGTGTTGCATGATCTTATGAAGGATTTAACTGAATCTCACTATAGTATTATGGCAGTAATAGAGTATGGGCAATGTGAGTTTCGTGTGTTTTGATCTATGGCTTTGAGCCAAGTGGGGGAGTCTGCCATTGATCAGTTGATTGCATGGTTATGTGCTATGCTGGTTCCAGTTTGAGGCACACTGGTGAATCAGTTATGGCTTACAGAGGTTGAGATCAATGATGACCTGAATAAAGGAAATTGTGGATAGGGGTTGTGTTATGCTTTATGGGTTTATAAGAATTATGGAATGACTTGAGTTGTTATTGGTGAAGGATGTAATTTACATGGAGCAGGAATTTATTTGGTTGCATTAAGGTGGAATTACTTCCTTGGGTGTTGGAGTGCTAATGGGGAATAGTCGTCCGGTCCGTTCGATCAGTCTAATTGAGATTTAAGCAGAATGGATAACTCTCGAGAACGGTTCTAATGAATTCAAGATTTATACGTGGCAATTGGGAATCTTCAGGATATGTGTGGGCTAGAAACTGAGATTTATATGGGAGGATATTAGGACTTGTGGCATTTTTGTATCATTTTGGATTTTACATACCAGTATCAGGAAGGTGAAGGTAATGGCTTTAAATTCACATGAAGTTTCTTCAGGGTAAGTATTTTGAATGTGGTGCTTTTGGGGGATATATAAGAGAGTATTCACCAACTTATGAACCTTTAGATGATATAGTTTTATGCTTGGGTCTCGTGTGGTGAGTCTGAGTTGAGGATTGCAGTATTATGGCGAAGAGAAGTATCAATTTGAAGTAATCTAGAAGGAACTTGGATAAATAGGATAAATTGGTAGTAGGTCGGATCGGTATGGTAAGGGATATGATTAGTTCTTTGGGTGCTTATAAGGTAACAAGTTTCTACACGTGTTTCATAGCAATGCTCTTGAGTTTTGGTGACCTGCGCAACTTGGTTGAGTTAAAAGGATTCAGTCCTGACGGTGTGGTTTTGTGCAAGTGGGATTCGGAGGGTTCTTAATGATTCTACCATGATTGGAGGTGTATATTTTCTACTGGCACGAGGAGCACGGGATGTATAGTGATTTTCTCCTAGATGGGATCAAATGGAAAAGTTCTTGGCTGGTTGAATACATAGTTTCTTGTAGCTCGGAGTGGATTATGAAGTTTTCATATTTATCATAGGGTGGTATGGTTTATGTGGTATGTTGTATGGAGTTGAGGTTTTCATGTGTAAGGTCACGGTTCAGTTTGGAAAGAAAGGTCATAAATTCTTAGGCAGTATGGGTAGTTTCAGATGACTAGGTAAATGATATTACAAATTGGTATGGTTTGATGAGAATATACATTCACAAAGGGGCGAGGTGTTTAAGTTATGGATACTTCATTGGTATAGCGGCACTCTCTTGTTTGATTGATTACTGGAGTTCAGATTTTTGCCGTGTGGCACAGAAAAATTTCAGGAGTATTCCACGTAGAATGACCATGTAATCGGAGAAGTATGGACATTCAAGTGGTGAAGTTGAGATGAGAGATGGTGATTCATATGTTCTATGGATTTGGAGACTGAGAGTTTTCGTGAGTAGACCGTTCTGTGGTTGTGGATGGTGAAAATTAGCTAAGGATAGTCAGAGGGTAGTATGTTTGGTGATTCAGTCACTGTAGACTTTTGGAGGGTTATTTATCTGTTGTAGGTGACCATAGTTGATTTGGGGTTCATTGGTAGGCCCAACATGGATGTGTGTTCTGCACCAGGTCGGATTTGTTGACTCCGAACTGCTATTATTGAGAGATGTGCTATTCGATGGTTGTTGAGCTTATTCGTGTTCTGAGTGATCTATGAGTACTCTTTGGTGTTATGAGGAGTTGTGATTCGTTGGTTATATGCACATATGGTGCGGTTCAATTTGGGATTTATAGGGAATTTGAACGAGATGAGTATCTGGGTATTGCACGATTGATTGCGCATTAGGTATGTTCTTCCGGGCCGATGTGTTATTACGTCATTTGCTTCTCCGTGGTTACGGTGATTCACTCTTGGTACTAGACATCAAATTGCGCGTGGTTGTTGATTTTGAGCATGGTGACTTGAGGTATTTTGAGTGGACCACTGTTTAGATAGGATCGTGCATTGCAACGAAGTTATATGGAGGTATGATCATTTGGGTTAGATTCGTGCGTTCTGGTCCTACGGTGTGTGATGGGTTCTTAGCAGCGTGTTGTGGTGGTATAGGTGAGCTTGCAGTACAGCTCTCTCATTTGGGTCATTTTTCCATAATTTGAGTGCATTTGGACTGTTGCTTATTGGTGCACGGGTTGCACGGGCTGTGGCTTGAGATTGTATCGATGTGTCATATCACTAGTGTAGTCATGTTGGATGATATGGGGTCACTAGGATCTATAATGAATATTACTGGATTCGGGTTTAGCATGTTGGAAGGATAATGCCGGGATTCGGCTTAGAAATTTACTATGGTCCTTGCCAAAGGAGAAGGAGCTTCATAAATGGTTGATCTAAGGAATGGTTATGACTTTCTGCGTGTATCATTCATATTTGACAGTATACGAAAGTGTTGGAACGAGGCTTTATTTAACAAGAAGTTTATTATCAGTATTCGGTTGTTTTGAGCAGCTACCGTGATTAGAAATCGCTACGAGTGTTTAAGTTATGTGGCACATCATGTAATTGCATCTAAGGTTACAGGTATGGTTGGTTACAACTTGTTCGGACTTATTCAAAGTATAGATGTGAGATTCTGATCTTATAGATGATTTTGGAAGTGGAAAAAAAAATTGGTTCTAAGGTTTATGGGCTAGATTGGATTACAAAATCTCAGTTATGTTGTGCTATTGGACCGATATAGGATAGGGTGACGAGGGATCACCCCCGGGTATGTGCTTGGTAAGGTTATACAGCGATTTCTTGGCTTTTGAAACAACTCTAGACACGTTCGAGGACAAACGTATATTTAAGTGGGGGAGGATGTAACGACCCGACCGGTCGTTTTGAGCATTTGCCTTCATTCCAGTTCTCGGGCATGATTAGCTCCGTATGATGTATTATGACTTATGTAAACCGTCGATTGTGATTTTTCAGGTTAATCGGAATATATACGGAAGGATGATTCTCAACTTAAAGCTTTTAATTTGAATGGTTTGACCCAGTCTTGACTTTTTAGTATTCAATCTCGGATTTGGATTTTTTTTATTTGGTTAGCTTTGTCGAGTGATTTTGGACTTGGGAGCGTGTTCGGAATGTATTTTGGAGGTCCATGGTAGATTTAGGCTTGAATTGGCGAAATTGAAAATTTGGTATTTTCTGGCCGACAGTAGAAATTTTGATATCCGGATCGGAATGGAATTCCGAAAGTTGGAGTAAGTCCGTTGTGTCATTTGTGACATGTGCGCAAAATTTTAGGTCATTCGGAGGTGATTTGATAGGTTTCGGCGTGTTGGTGGAATTTGAGAATTTCTATGTCTTTAGGCTTGAATCCGAGGGTGATTTGATGTTTTGATATTGTTTTGAGTGTTTCGAAGTTTGGAATAAGTTTGAATGGTGATATGTCACTTGTTGGTATGTTTGGTTGAGGTCTCAAGGGCTCAGGATGGTTTTGAGTGGTTGACGGGAAGTTTGGAATTTGAGTTGTGCTGCAGATTTTGTTGTTCCTGTTATTTCCACACCAACGGATTAGGGACCGCATGTGCAAGGCTGCAAAAGCGATGAGGAGATCGCAAATGCGAGTTTGGCCCTCAGGAGAAGAACCGCAGTTGCGGTTATTGGGACGCATCTGTGGGACCGCAGGTGCGGTGCCTGGGCGCAGATGCGGACCTTGTGACTTTAGTGGAAATCACATATGCGGTAATCTTGATCGCAGAAGTGTCCCGCAGGTGTGGGAAATGGGCCGCATGTGCGAAAAATGCTGGACAGTATGTATAAAAAGGCCCCTTCGCGATTTTTAGTCATTTTTTCATCATTTTTGTGCTATTTTGGAGCTCCAAGCTGTTATTTCAAGAGGGAACCAAGTGTTGACAGAGAGGTAAGCTACTTGGGCTTTGTATCTTGTGTTTATGGTGATTATTTCATTATTTAATCATGAAAATTGGTGGAAAAATTAGAGAAAGAGTTGGGAAATTAGGGCTTGAAATTGGAGAGTTAAATTGGGGATTTGAGGGGCCATTTGAGATCCGATTTTGATGATCCTGGTATGTATAGACTCGTGAAAGGATAAGGATTCTAGTGTTATGATTTTTATCGGATTTCGAGACATGGGCCCGGGGGGCCAGGTTTGACCAATTTCGGGATTTTGAGTTTAATTTGATAATTTTCGCGTGGGCTTTATCCCTTTTGCTTGTATTGATGTTATGATTCTGATTTTGGATAGATTCGGGATAATTTGAGGCCGAGTCGAGAGGCAAGGGCATTGCGGAGTATATTTTTGTCCGATTTGAGGTAAGTAATGATTGTAAATCTTGTCCTGAGGGTATAAAACCCCGGAGTTCACTTTGTTTCACTATATTTAGGTGACGCACATGCTAGATGACAAGCGTGGAGTTGTGCACTGTCGGGGATTTTGACTTGGTCCGTCCCGTAGCGACTCTTAAGTTGTGTATATGACTGAAAACTATTTGATACACTTGTGTTTTGGAAAATATTATTAGGCTTTGGGCTGAATGCCATATTTGGGCCTCGTGCCAAGTTGTTTGGACCCTTAGGGGCTTTTCCATATTATTTCTTTACTGTTTTGACTTAAGAGTTGTACTCAGTAATGTTATGTTTTTATTGATTTCATAACCCAGTATTTATTATTCCTTTGATGCATAAAAATGATATTTTGGGTTGAACACTCTGGTTACTAATAGCCCGAGAGGCTTGTGAGGTTGATGACGAAGAGAGGTCGAGGGTCCGATTGTGAGGTTGACGACTGAGAGAGTCCAANCACCAGGATGGAGTTTTTACCTGGTATGTGGACTCCCCAATGCGTTTTTCAATGGGCAGGGGCCTGATGAATTTTGTTGCAGGCGAGGGTCATGGGTCCTTTCTACAAACAAGTACCGCTTTGGGATGCATAGCATTACTTTGTCACCTGGTTGATGTTGGGCAAAGCAACGCTTTTGTTCGGTGAACCTTTTTGCCC